CCATATATTGAAACATGCATTTACACTGAAACTATAGGTAAATCTTATCAGGAAAGGTCCTTCCTGTAAAGAAATTAAGCTGTAACATATTCTCAGTCATTTGTAATCATTTAGAAAAAAACATCCGATCATGATTTTAGAAGTTTCAAGGCTGATTATTTTTTGGAAAAAACACCACTGTGACCTGTGGCACAGGTCATGATAATATCTTCTACCAATCATATCTATCAATTTACTAATTTCACACAACATAAAACAAATTGATGATAGCTGCATTAATAAGAAATCCAACTCTTGGCCTACAGTGTTGACTTTTTTTTTCTTGTCAGTAGCCTTTCTTACTGAAAAAGAAGTTATTAACTTAGAATATGAACTTAGTTATTGAGAATTAAACTTAGTTATTAAGAATTGAAATAACCTAGTTAACCATCTTCTCCTACCACACCCTGCAACTTATGGGATTTGTTGGTATCACAGACTTTACTTCACTTGTTTAATGGACTCTTCCCACAGTTTTGCCCATCTTTTCTACTTCAAACATGCTTGCAGAAAAGTTTTTTAAAATCCACTTTTCCACAGCATACTAAACAGAGTCTAGCAGAAGATGAAGTTACTCTTGGCTTAAGTTGTTGTTGATTTTGTTTAAATTTTATTAGTTCTACCATGCCTGAAAGATTTTCTGTCTTGCATTCACCTATACCTTTCCTCAAGGAATAACAAGTCTAGCGAGGACTTCTGGAGTGCAGTGAACACTGTTCATGTTGTGTCCATCGCCAAAATGCAGCAGACATCAGTCGAGTTTGCTGTCTACCCAGTGATTAACAGCTGAGAAACTTTTATTTACAGCTGATTTAATCTGTTCCAGTGGCATGGAATTCTAGCATGCAAATGCAAGCACATTCTTTCCCAATTGCAAGATCCTGCATCTGGGCCAGGCCAATCCCAAATACAGGCTGGGCAGAGAATGAACTGAGTGCAGCCCTGAGGAGAAGGACCTAGGGGTGTAGGTTGGTGAGAAGCTCAACATAAGCTAGCAATATGCACTTGCAGTCCAGAAAGCTAACTGTATCCTGGGCTGCATCAAAAGAAGTGTGGCCAGCAGGTTGAGGGAGGTGATTATCCCCCTCTTCCTGTTCTAGTGAGACCCAACTTGGAGTAATGCCTTCAGCTCCAGCCCCACCATAAGAAGGACATGAAGGTATTAGAGCAGGTCCAGAGGAGGGCCACAGAGATCATCAAGGGGCTGGAGCACCTCTCTTCTGAAGACAGGCTGAGAGAAATGGGGATGTTCAGTCGGGAGAAGAGAAGGCTCTGGGGAGACATTATAGCAGCCTTCCACTACCTAAAGGGGGCCTACAGGAAAGCTGGGTAAGGACTCTTTGTTAGAGAGTGTAATGATGGGACAAGGAGTCATGGCTTTAAACTAAAAGAGGGTAGGTTTAGATTAGATATAAGGAAGAAATTCTTTTCTATGAGGGTGGTGAAGCACTAGAACAGGTTGGCCAGAGAAGCTGTGGAAGCCCCATCCCTGGAACTGTTTAAGGCCATGTTAGATGGGCCTTTGAGCAACCTGGTCTGGTGGGAGGTGTCCCTGCCCATGTCAGGCGGTTTGGAACTAGATGATCTCTAAGGTCCCTTACAATCCAAACCATTCTGTGATTCTGCAGATGGGTCAGAATTTGTGTTTGTCCCCGGATTTGATAGTATTTCTCATTTTGACAACTAACAATTCTCCTGAAAGAAAGCAGAATTTATATATAACTTTTTTTCACATGTAGTGGAATAAAGATTAATATTTTTAATTGCAATCAACCTTTTTGTTTACACAGGATTCACAGTCTGGCTTGTCCTGGAGATGAGTTGGAGCAGTGTACAAAAGGGTGCTGTTATGAGATTTCGATTCTGCTGGCTTCATAAGCACAAGCACACATTCTGAAAATTGCATTCTGAGATTCACATCCAAAAAAAACTGCTCTGGTCTCTACCACTTGTGCCTATTTCATCTTTCCATGACCCTTTGTCTCAAGCATCTCAGCTTGCCTGAGAGAACCACAAAATTGTTCCATGTCTCTCTCCCTTCCATGCCCCTCTCCCTCATGGCCACATCCATTACTTGATTGTTTATTTGCAACAAACCTGGCTATCTACTTCCAGTCTTCTCACATGAAGGGGTAGCATGAGGTTCCATCTTGTTTCACAGTCTTTTCTCACCATGGTACTGCTCCACAGCTCAGCTTATTCCCTTCTGAGTATGTGACAAGAATCCTTCTCAAAATTTCCTGAGTAACGTCAAGGCAACTTTCCTAACCCAGTATCAATGAGTTCAACAAAACTGGAAAAGAAACTGCTGCAAGGAAAAAAAATCTTTCCATCTACACAGCCCCTGAACTTGATTTCAACAGAATTTTCTACAAAAACAAAACAAAACAAAACATCTTGATGAATAAACTAGTTTGGAAAATTTAGGCTTGAATAAATTTTCGAAGTTCAAACTATGGTAACTGACAAACTGTTTCATATTTAGTAGTAGTGAAGCACCTTAATTACACATAACATGAGCAACTCTAATAGAAAATGGACACAAAAAACAGGTACATAAACAATAGAATATATGTGTATATATGTATATAAATATACATACACATGTATATATATTAAAACAAGGTATCTGTATATATATATATATATAGTAATATAATATGCATATATTCTCTTTTGCCCAGAGAAGTTGTGGATGCCCCATCCCTGGAGGTGTTCAAGGCCAGGTTGGATGGGGCCTTGGGCAACCTGGTCTAGCGGGTGGCATCCCTGCCTATGGCAGGGGGGTTGGAACTAGGTGATCTTTAAGGTCCCTTCCAATCCAAGGCATTCTATGATTCTGTGATATATAATAGACATAATTTATTCAAACATACTGAAGTCTTAGGTCTAGTCTGTTATAAAAACTGTACACGATAAATCAACCTGATTCACTATTAAATTCATTGCTGTTTTTCAGGAAACTTAACATTTTCCTTTGCATACACAAGAAAAAAAAATCATTTCCATGGCATCTTTATGAGAAACTCAACTTAACATGATTTAATTAAGTGTTGGAATTAGCACAAAATTACAGATCAGGACTCCTACTCCTCATCAAGTCGCTTAAGAGACAGAGAAACAGTTAGACACCAAATTGTCCCAGATACGGAAATCTTTTAACTACACGTTCATAAACCAGGCCATTATCCTCTTCTACTTATACAGTAAGAATGATGTGAAATTGACCACAGTAAGATGTTAAAAGCCCTGAATGAAAATAATTTAGAATAGACAAAAGGCATTACTTTAATATAATATATAACTAGCCTGCAATATAGTTTGTTAATGTTTCCTGACTTACAGCAGACAGCGCAGACTGCTGCACTTAAATTTATTAAAATACCCCACATTTGAGTAAATACAACATGCAAGACCGATAGCATGGGTAATAATGTTACCATTAATACCATTAATAACCACATTGCTATCCATGACATCAGTCCCAAATTCATACACATGTATACTTCATATGTTCAAAGATCATTATAGGTTCTATAATTAATATTTACTGTCTCACTAGAAACAAATATGCGCTTGTGGAAATCCCAGTGTGTCAAGTCCCAAAACAGAGAACTGTATGCAGAAAGGACAAAAATGTTCCTCTTGGAAGAACATTTCCCAGCTTTATGTTCTGTGTTAGCCTCGTGCTTGTTTATCCTTACTGCAGCGAAAGTTTTGAACGCACTAACTGCACGTGGACTTTAAATGAACACTCAGGAGCAAGTTTCTACCCAGAGAGGCAGAATCTTAATGCTTGTAGCAACATGATCAATCTTTTAATTTGCTACAGCCAGAACGGAAACTGAGTCCAAGCAAAAGGTCAGAACAGGCATTTTATATTCTCTGTTAAAGGAGAGGAGGAAAAAAAATGTCTTTGAGGAGTAAAGTAAGTAGCTAATGAGACACAGCACTGACAGCTGGAATTTAATAAGTATCCCCTTCACAAGGAAAATTGCTCTTAGTAATTAAATACAGGTATCACACAAAGCTTCTGCTTAGAACCAGACTTCAAAATCTTTCTGTCAGTAGGACTGAAGGGGTTTTACATCCCAGGTAATATAAGGGTGAGTTTGCCTGGGAGGCTAGTCCTAAATGAAGAGGGTTAATTGCGTAAAATTCACAGTCATGTCAGTGGTAAATAATTCCAAAGGGACTTGTTCAGATAGTAGTCTGGCAATACTGAAAAACAGACTGCAACTAAAAAGACCTGTTATAAAGTCTGCCAAAACCTGAGACATATTAAAAGTTTATTAGTCATTTCAGAACTAAAATGCTAACACAATCTTTCTAGAGGGATCCAAAATTCTTTATTTTCCAGGTCTGTAGGGCCATAAAACTTTACCTGAGAAAATTTTAAACAATCTTCTAATTAATCACAGAATTTTATAACCTCTCACAAGCTGTACGTAAAACATTAACAAGGTAGGGAGAAGGAAGTCCTATTTGTACTATGCATGATTCTCAGTCCAGCTGACATACCCCACTAGATGAACCACGTTAGAATTTAACATCAGTCTGAGATTATAATGGATACTACCACATGGAGATGGTACTTCATGTATGGGACTGCATGCCTGTAAATGAAGGAAGGTACAAGTCTCTAAATTACTGTGAACATCTGGCAGGGCAGAGTCTAAGTATATTTCTGTAATTTGTAACAACGCCATCAAAATATGACCATGTAACATATTCTCAACTTAATACAACTCAGATCCATAGAAAGACATCTTGATTCTTACATAATTAGTAGTCCAATGGAACTGTGCTGGTATCAGGAGAAGAAAGAATTTTAAGTATCTACATGGGTCAGTGCTTTTACCAGGTAGAATTGCATTTACTCTGGTATACATAACATAATTACACAGCTGTAATTACTGCAGTGTAAAAGAGCTCTGACTCTGAAATACGTCTCAACCTACCTCATAGAACATAGGCACATCCTTAACCTTTTTTCCCTTCTGATTTCCAGATTCTGCGATCTGTAAGGAAATAAGGTATTATATTGTGAGTAGATTTTAAATGTAAACAAATTATTTTACTTGTTATTCTCTTTCACTAAACACTACAGTCACACTCTAAATAGGTAAGGAATCATCTTAAAGTACCCATGTATCTTAGGGAGAGAGCTTTGATGACCAGCATCTTGAAGAAAAGTCTGCAGAAAACCCCAGGGTTTGCAAGGGGCAGACCAGCTTATGCAGTACGCTTTTCTTCTTCCATTTTCTCATTAATTAGTGTAATTATTAAAACTTCCACAGAGAATTTAAATAGAGTTTGGTTTGTTATTAAAAGTTGATTTATTGGAATACCTGTCTGAATATATCTTCACGTGTCACCACGCTGAAGAGCTTCCGTTGTGGCACCTGCACAGCAAGAGACAAGGCCGTCGTGTGGATTTCATCCTCAATTTTGGTCCCAACCACAAAAGCGATGCTAGGCTTCCAGTTATCCTATTTACAAAATAAAATATTGAATGCATTAGAACAAAAGCACACAAAATGCTTCTCTGCAGTTTCAAGGAGTAAGCCTGCAGAGATGACTACTCTCTTTAAGACATGTTCAACATTAAAATATGAATCACACTGAAATAAATTATACAATCCCAAAAAGCACGTACAGCTTTGTCCCAATTCTTTCTTCCATCAGGTGGCAGCATTATGCTGTGGAAAACACAAACGCCTAGAAACACTCCAAAAACCTCCGCACAGGCAAAAGCCGCATTAGCATCACACAAAGATAAAAGAACTTTAAAACGTTATTTGGAGATTTCACATTTTGGTAAACAAACAAGAAATAGAGTTTTAAATGTATGTGTTTATACTGTTGTCATTCTTTGCTCTAGAAAAAATAAACAATTTTCAGCCCAGAACTATTTTCTAATTTCTAATTGCAGCATGGTTTGTACTGTGTTTCAGGAGGTTATGTTTACTCATGCTATCATTCTTACATGCTTTCAGTAAGTGTTCTGAAACATGAAAAAATCTGTATCAATGGCAAGTTATATTTCATGACAATGTCAACAAATAAAAAACACTAGCAGCTTGCAAACATGTGCAGGAAAATACGCATTTTTAAGAAGAAAAGTTTGTTTTCAGCATAAAAGAAACGCACAGCAAGAGAAGATTGTAGCAAGTTACTTATGGATATACATCCACAAAAGCTTTAAAATGATGTAATTTAAGCAACTGGTTACTCTTCTTCTCCACCTACTTCTTTTACTCTAACCTACTGGAATCCCTCTAGGAAAATGAGCAGCTGTCTCCAGCACATCTACATCTCTCTCTAGTCTTCTCTATCAGCATCAGTGACACCTTAAGCACTTCTAGGGGTTGTGCTTTCCACTCTTCAGGATGCATCATTTTTGTTTTTTTTATAAAGTTCAATGTTCGCATGTGTAAACTGCAAGGATGTCAATAAAACTTAACAAAGGTTAACATGGAAAGAGCATCAGTAAGACCCAGGTGGTCCCAGGGCATTGTCACACACTAACCAGGACCAGCTTAAGCAGACTCACATGCCAATCAGTACACATCACGGCAGGGAAAGATTTTAAAGACAAATTTAAGTAAGGTTGGTAGCTTTAGGACTTTGATGGAAATAATTTCATATGCATATATCATGTACAGTGTATATGCACATACTTGCAGAAAAGAGGAACACAGCTTGAGTTTATGGTAAAGTGAGGGAAAGGAGCCTTCAAAAAAAAGTGAGATGGAAGTGGTGAGAGGAGATATTTATCTTTTTCCTGTTGTAAAACACCCTTCCTCATTTGTTCCTTTTCATATCTGGAAAAAAAGAATATCCTACCCTAAATGTTTGCAATTTGACTAACTGATGACTTTAGGTGGGAGAAAGTGACAGGTGATGTGATGTAAGTTTCAAACTAGTAAATGTTTGCAATGTTTTATCATACTCTTCAGGTAACAAAAAATGTTGCTTAAACATGGCATAACATGATTATACAAAAGTGCCCCTCTTTTTAACCACATAGCTGCTGGTGGAAAGTATTCTGAAAGAGCTTGGTATTTCACCATCAAAACATGTGTACAGGAGCTGCAGTTAATCTGAATTCAAGTTAAAGTTGTCATCGTATAGCTGCCAAGAGTTTGACTCAAAACTAATTCTTTGAACAACGCACATGGATGTCCGTACTTGTGTGCAAATGTACTAATTTTTAGGCTTTCGGAATTGCAAAATATCGAGATCAAAAGGCCCCCATGTGGTGGCATCCTGGTGTTCCCATAGCTTGTGAGAAAAGCTACATCCGCATGCTGTGTGAATTAACGGAGCAAGTGGTATCACCAGAATGTCCTCTTCAGTGTGAGCCACCAGAAGAGAAGCATGGGGCCCTGCAAGTGTCACAGACACACAGTGACAGCACAGAAAGTGCACCATACATACCAATTCGGGTTTAGATTTGTGGTGAGGCATGGTACAGCAGCAACAGAGCCTGTTCCTACAACTTCCTCCAGTTCTTTGGATGTGTGAAGAAATTTCTGTCAGAGTCCTAAAACCTCTACCTTATGACTTTAGTTCCTCCTTAGAACATGCTGGTGTCTCTGTGCCCACAAATTACACCTGCTTAGGACTGGTTAACATCCTGCAACAACGATGTCTGTGAAACCTGTCTTCTTCAGAGAACTGTCTCTTCTTGACCTCTCCATCCCTTTCTCACAATGGTTGCTAGCTCATTTCTCCTTCCATTTCCACTCCCTGCTCCTTGTCAGAGTGCCATAACTTCTCCAAATCCTTCACACATCCTTTACTTGCACCCCTAGCATCATCTTTTCCTCAGTTCCTTGTCCAGCTAGTTCCTAAGGTTCATCTGACCCACAAATTTCCATTTCCACCTTTCTCAACCCTTATATTCCTTGTTAAATTCCTAGCACCTGTAATATTTTCCCAGGCACTTTCAGAGTTCTGTTTCAGTAATAAGACTTTCTCTTTTGCAACACTTCTGCATTCCCAGGGAAGGCATCAGAAGAAATGGAGTGAATTTTCCAGATTTCCACTGTGGTGGCCACCTTCACAGAACCCCGTAACAACAAAGCAAAACATCAGGGTAAATCCTGCTTGTGAAAATTTGATTTTTCAAAACACTTAGGATCTATCCAACTAACATTCTTGGGATTCAGCAAAAGAGATGCCCTTGACACCAGCATGGCACCTCTTTTTCCTGCTGCTAATTCTCTGCTTCAGATAAACAACCTGCTAGAGCTTCTCCACACAACAGCTATGAGAGTACTTATAGCATTGGCCAAATGCTGGCTAATACCTTAAAATAAAATACATGAATCAACATCTAAAAGACAATTGGTAGTGAAAATCCACCTAACAATTCTGAAGAAGTATATGCAACACGATGCAAGGTCTTTTGTGTAAAACTTTAAACAGCATTAAGCAATGTTATCCTATCCCTCTATGAACCAAATATATATGCCTTTTATGCAAAAGGTACAATACCTGGAAATTGGAGCTAGATAAATGCCAGAAATAGCTACACACACTTTTGCAGGGAATAATGGTCTAGAATTCCCAGTCACTAACAGCATGTCATCCATTTTTACACTGACTGTTTTTGAAGCTCATTTTTCAGAAAAGCTGAACATTCAGATCAGTAACTGGACTCAATGAGAACAGAGAACATGCAGCATTAGTATATAGTTTAAGGTGTTTAAGTGACTGCTTTTTTTTTTTTCTGACATTAAAATCTATTATTTTTGCAACATCGTCCTTATGTTATCAATAGTGTAACAGTATCCTTAATGTACAAGGCACTGAAAGGATAGAGAAGAAACAGACCCTGCTTCTACAGCTCACCACCTAAAATCACAACATAAAAATGAGAAGGAAAAGTAGTAAAATGTATATGGTTACTTTAAAAACATTTTCTCCCTCAATATACAACTGTTCCTCTACGTAGTTTAATTCTTTCAAATGTTTTTGTAGAAGTGAGACCTAAGAAAGGATCTGAAGGGGGATAGATTAGTGACCCTAAGGCTACCTTAAATGAGGTTCCCAGCTTAAAGAACAGGACAGAGAAAACCATGCAAGTAACTAGAGGAAAAGCATGGAAACAGTCTGGGGAGGCTGCCACTGGGAGAGCAGCAGAAGTACTACCTACTCGGAGTCTCAAGCCTCAACTGTGCTCCTCTGTAACGTGATTTTTTTTTCAACCAGTTAAAAATCAGTATACATAATATACATATCTTATTTGTCACAGTACTATTGGAAAAATAAAGGTATGTCAAAAAATCTCTAACTTCCATCCATGCCAAAGAAGAAAGAAGACGCAGCTTACAGAATTTTCTTTCCTTTTTTAAATGTCTTGTACTTTCTGCTTCATTTCCTAGACACAGAAGAGCAGCTGTTCTAGAGAAGGCATTTTAACAAATCAGCTATATTGACTGTGTTTGCAGTACTAGTTTCTAGATCTCTTTTGCTAGGAAAAGCATCACACAGTCACCTCATCCCCATTTCCAGGAAATCTGAGTATCTGTCATTTTTCATTGTCACTTATTCTTCTGGTATTTTATTTTTTTTTCCAAGGGCCACAAGAAGTAGGCTCATTTCTTTACACCTTAGTTTCAAATACAAGTGTAATGGCTGAAGAGAAACATTTGAAAACTCAAACTCCAAACACTTCAGCATCAAAAGGCAAGAGTTCTTTAATCTCCCGATTTTTAAGTAAAGCCTTCGAAATAGTGAGATTTATTAAAGATTTATGAACACCTAGGAAAACATCCCCTCTAGCATTCTTTGCTTTCAACAATGAGGGAGCTTGTAAATCAGCAAGTCCAGCAGGCTTTACTGGAAAAGGTTGCTCATCAGCCATTTTGCAGCCCTCATGTAGTGACTGGGTAGGGCACCAGCATTAAGAGACCTCCAAGTCCACTTTCATTACCTCTTGACTGACACATGACCATATTGCTCCTGGCTTCTGGTTTTAGGGGCCTGAACTTTTGCTGCATTATCCCTGCAGGTTACAGAGTATCACAATTCAACTGAAAATCTAATTCCTCTCCTAAGAGGAAGCAGTATGAATAGTAATCAAAGCGGAGTCATCCAGTTCAGAACATTTTAAATGGTTTTATACAAGGTTTGCTTTCAGTTCAATCTTCAGGCCCTAAAATGCACATAAAGTGGCAGAAACAGCACATATGGGAAAACAGAACAGAACGTGGCTTCCAGTTGCCATGCTTAATTACAGTTGCTAATAAGGACATATAATAGATAACAATTACTTCAATTGTCAGGGCTGTATTTGCCCAGAATTTCACTTAGCAAGTATATTTAGTGACTTAAAGCACACAAAGGTTCAAACTAAGCATTTTAGTTTAATTTTGTAATTTAATTTTGCAGTGAACCCAATCAAAATACCTTTATAAATATATGAAGAAAAACACATCTTGCGGCTGTATGTTCTTCTGCACAGCATGTTAGACACAAAAGGTGCATATAAACTATAATGTGAGGCTCTCCAAAATCCGTATTTCCTCTGTACATGTTTTTATGTTGTCTGTTTGCCAGTTTTCACAGTGTGTTTAAGTAAAAGCCATTATTTGGTTAGTAAATACCATTTAAATCATATTTTAGTTAGCATACCCTTCCATAAAATGTTAACACCACTGGTAAAATGACTCCTTTTCATAGATCAGACTAATAAAATATGGTAAGTCATAAACACACATTAAAATGGGAAATTTCATTGCTCAGCCTATCTGGTACAACATAAAACCAGTTCTAGTAAATTCCCTTTGACTCCACTAATAGGAAAAAATATTATCTAAACTGATAAAAGTAAAAGATTTTAAAATTCATTAAACATGATTTACCAGGAGAGAAATGTCTTTAATTGATAGGAGTTCCTGTCATCTCCCAAATAAATTCAGATTCATACGGTATATCACACACAATGTAAGAAATAATTTTGTACAGTGCGGCTGGTGACATGTATAATTAAAGTAGCTCAACACTCTGTGTTACAGGCTGCTTTCAGTTTATGTATTCAAGCTTAAATTATGTATGCTATATATTTACTGAGGAGGGCGGAGGAAGAAGATAAAGCGGTTAGACTATTTGCAGAATGAGGTTTGATTTGAAAGATCATTTTTATCCTTTAATAGAAAACCCTGTAAGATTAAGTACTTAAGAAATTCAGTTTTCTCCATGTTCAAGAGGAAGGAACTAAAATTTGGCAGCCTAGACATACTGTTGCAAAGGTGTGCTTTTACACAGCATGTTTATTTATATTAAGCATTCCCATGTTTGACCATACTTGATGAACCAGAGATCTGCAGGCATTTAACAGCTTTGCACCATGTATATCCCTAACCAAGACTATCGGAGCTGAACACGAATTTTCCTGCAGTAAGAATTTTTAGCAGTTGCCCAGCACCACAGAAGCCTGAGCTCAAACTGACCCCGAGGCTCTGCCTGCTAGCAGCATGACAGAGAAAGTGGAATTAGTTTAACTGGAACATAAAACAGACGGACAATACCAGAATTAAGAAGCCAAAGAACCTTAATTAAGCCCCGCTGGGTATAGGCATTATGATAATCTTTAATTAGGCGATCACAAACTTTTTTTCCTACAGTATTCTTGCCCCATTCACTGAACATATTCAACATTTTCTTTCCATCTGCCTCAATGTGTGGTCCTGAATAATCCTAATTCTGGCATTTCCTATATTTCGAGCATTTATTTCTTACCTTTTAAAAAACTTCAATATAATGGTTTGCATTTAACAAATGTAATAAATTACATATAGGAGCAGTGGAGTAAACAAAGCACTTTGTTCAGCGAGTTCACTGGACAATATCCACAGCCTTCATAAACACCACCATAAAAACAAAATATCACTAATTGGCACCTTGCTAGCAAGCCCAGGAAAAAGGCCAGGCACTGAGTAGGTGTTGGAGATCGGACCTGCACTCAGCCCCATGCTTTAGGGAGGTTCTCCTAGGGCAGGGGAGGGATTTGCTAGCAAGAAAGGGCTCGAGTGCTTTTGAATTGTACTGAAATGGGATGTTCTGGGGGAAAAATGGGAAACAACAGCCTTGGCTGAGCAGCACTTACTTCAAGTTGTGATATACTTGTACGATATTGTGACTACCAAACAAAAAAATAAATGCAAGGGAGTACTTAAGAGACTTTTGGACATCTGTGGCATTTTTGGAAAGCTGATTAGTCAGTTGAAAAACTGCCTCCTGAATATGGAAATCTTCATAATTACTAGAACTAATGCAATAAAAGCAAGCAAACAAAAAAACACCAGAACAGAAAAAATACCCTTGGTTTTCAAGTAAGGCACATCAGGGACCCAACAAACAAGGGAGCCATGGAAGTCATTTGTCTCACTTACAGAAGTGGTGCTAGGTAAACACATGCTAGATAAATATTATTGTTTGGGAAACTGCTACGCTATTTTGAAATCAAATTCTTTCTCCCGAGTCAGGATTTATTAGAGTTACATTGCTTACACAGAACCTGGAAACCCAAATACGCCTTCAGATCCTCACACGCTGTTAAAAAGAAGAAGGGGGGGAAAAAAAAAAAAAAAAAAAAGCTGCACACACCGAGGCAGGAAAATTACAGCCTCGCATTTTCAACGCTGGAGTTAATGCTGTGTCAGCACCTCCATCAAACCCCGTTGTTCAGCAGTTTATAAAAAAAGCTCGCTCCCAGCCCCAACTTGGCACCCACCCCGCCGAGGGGAGGGCAGCGGCTGCTCCCTGGGGGGGGGGGGGGCACCGGGGTGGGGTGAGAGCCCCTCCAAACCACCCCCTCGCCCCGCCGGGGCTGCCCCGGGTCCCCCTCGGTGCCTCCTTCACCTCCTCCAGGGCGGCGGCCACCAGCGCTGCCTCCCAGCTCTTCGCCGCCGGCCCCGAGGAGGCGGCGGCGGCGGCAGCGGCGGCCTTGGGCCGCTTGGGGCCCATGGCGGTGCCGGCAGCGGGCTCACGCCTCACGCGTCGCCCTGGCGACCGGCACCGGCCCGCCCTGCGGCCCGGCAGCGGCTCGGGGCCTCGGGGGTTGCCGTGTTGGGAACGGGGCCGTGGTGGGTTGGGGACACGGCAGCGGTGCTGGAGGCTGCAGGTGTGGGCGGCGAGGCAGCCCCCCCAGCCCCACAGCGCACCCCCAGCGCTGCCAGATGTGCCTGCGCCGGGAGCAGGAGGGGAGAGAGGGAGGCACGGTTGGGAGAAAGCAGGAGGGCTGCCAAGATAAAGAATTCATTACAGAGGAGTCATGTCGTGATCTCACACTGGAGACGAGTGAAATATTCTGTGTGATTTAACATTTGGTGAAAATACCCCAAACCACATGGTGCCCTTCCCCCACCCGGTTGTACCGACCAGCGCTGCTCAGAGCCTCCAAATCTTTTATTTTAACTTCGCAGGAGTCTTTCAGCCACGCTGAGCAGCCCGTTACTGCTTTAGTCTGAATCTTATTCTAGGAGGATACTGACCTCATGTATGTGCTTTATAAAAACACCTTTAATTACAGGCTTTTAGTGGAGAAATAGGAATTCAGGTTTATAAGGAACATAAGATACAAGTCTTGTATCATCCTTCGTTTGCAGAAGTGTATCTTGCCCGGGTTTGTAGACAATGATGTAGTTTATAACATGGGAAAGCTGCACAGTAGATTTGCCAACATCCATACACATTTTCCCCCACCCCATTTCTTGGCTGATGTCCATTTTTCTCGTTTTGAAGTTTTCTTTTGTTGTCCAGGAAAGAAAAAAAAACTAAAATCAGACTGCAATTGTTCACAGAAACAGGGATTGTGACATTTCCACCATACCCTTGTTCTTCATTAAGGTCTTGGATATGCAGACTGTGCCTGCTGAGGTGTATTGAGAGAGTATGGGGAAGGAGGATCAGCCTAGGAACAGCTGTTAATACAGCAGGACGGGACAGAGGTATGGGGCAGAAGGCACAGATAAAGTTGCCAAGTGCCTTTACTATTAACTGTCCTACTTTTTTATGGCTCAGTTTACAGGGTTGGATGTGAGAATCAGGATGACCGACTGGTGGGTTCTGCACCCAGCTGCTGATGGTACGGCTGGAAATACGCACCACCATGATGTCAGTGAGAGATGAGGACTGCTTAAAAGCACTGCCTGCTGTGCCCACACCTGGGTCTGTAAGCTCAGGGTTGTTGGAAGGCTAAAAGACAGGAAAGTCACAAACAGCTCAGAGAACATGAACAATAGCTGTGAGAATCATGAACTGGCCTGGTTTTATCTATTGTGTGTTTGCTTGGATGAATAAGGATTAGTTAAAGGAAATTGTTTTGTTTTGCTGCCTATCGTCTTACTAAACACATCTAACTAACTTGCTGTTTATTGTTGTTGGATGCTGTAGCAAACAGCAAGTCAAGCTGAAGCAGGACAGCTGATCACTGGGAGCTTAAAATGACCTCCACCACTCTCCCGAACAAAGGAGAGAAGGAAATTATATTTATTCCTTCTTACAAAAGGCCCCAGTGTATTGTTCTAAAATAGGTTCTCCACTAATGAAGTCAGCTAAAGATGTCTCCTGTTTGGCTGCTTGTCCTTGTCCATTCAGTTGTGCTGCCAAAGATGCTTGTAGGCCAAGCTATAAACCAGATCATTGAAACCCTCTTGGTTAAATCCTCCAACAGACAAAAACAACAAATCAAAAATATTGGGAAACTATGGCTTTTGTTCCCTCCAAGTCATGCAGACTGCAAAACGCCCAGTTGTCGCCGAGCCATCTGAAAACCTCCAGCTTCCTTCTGATAACTGAGATGAAGTTACTGAAATCTTAAATCTTGTATTAGCAAAACTGAATGTAATTCAACTATACTTATAAACCAAGAATGAAAGTAATATGCAAAATAAGGATCCAGAGTGACTTTATGTGGTTTGATATACTTGCTAAAAAGGAATTCACAGATGTAAAACTGCCATTTCTACACAGAGAAATTGGTTCTACCATTAGAGCAAGAGTTAATGGGCAAATCTGTAATGACTTTTTGTATGACAGGAATATTGATGATGAATTTTTGTATGACAGGAATATTGATGATGAAATTTGTAGTGGCAACCTTAAAATTTTCAAGTCACTTTTTCATTTTCTGTCTTATTAAAAAACAAATATGAATACATGAACAAATGACAGTGGAGTAACCAAAGCTGTGACTTTAAAATAAACTTGCAATTCTAAATAATGCTGTGTGTAAATACAAGGCAACTTGCATTTTCCTGGGAGAGGAGTTAACTACTCCCTATATTCTCAATTTGTACAACAGGGTAAGAAAATATGCAGGTTAATGCTGCAGTGTAGCTAGACACAGTAACATTCCTGTGCCCGCGTATTTAATAATAATATAGAAGAGATCTTTCCTTCTAATAATATAGAAGTAGGTATAGTACCTACATCCTTCAGGAGGAAGAAACACTATTTGCCTTTTACTGTAGTGTGATTTAAAGAACATTTGCTCATACTTGCTCTCCAGTAAAGGGCGAAGAGTGAAAAGATACTACTAGTTGTAAAAATCATGTCTTCTCTACTTGATATTTCCTGAAAGACTACAATTGACTGAAGAACTAGTAGAGATTTTGGATCTTAAATAATTAAAGCCTGACCAGCTGAGAGGGGAATTAATTTTAATTTTCTTTTTTTTTCTTTTTTTTTTTCTTTCTTTTTATATATATATGTATGTTTTTAAGTGATTATTTTAAATGCTTGACAAATATTTTGAAAAAACGATCTTCTCAGTAAGAACCATCAACTTCTCTTCTTCAGCTGACAAGTCAGCAAAGAGTGTTCTTTGCTCAGGTTGTTAAGAACACGCTTAATTACTTTATATTGCTTTCCTAGGATTTAAATGTTTAAATGTTTCTTAAACAGCGAGGCTTCCTGAATTATAGCTTCAGAAAGCTGTTTCCGTTTTGGAAAACTTTCCAGAAGGCTGTCTAGAACAGCTAACATGGCCTTCAGCACTGCTAAGGAAAACAGTCCTTCATATTCCTTCATATTCCTTACATTTCTAAAAGAAGAAAGTTTTTTTTTTTTTTTTTCTTGAGAACACTTCGTGTTTTTTTTTTTTGTTTTTTTTTTTCCCCTCAGAAATGAAGAGGGAGAAGACCATAAAACTCATGTCGCTTTCCTTTTCAGTTTCATAGGGCTGTAGCACCCAGGCTGGGAACTGTTTTTCTTGAAGTCTGCAACCCCCCAGGACACAACCATCTCACAAGTTACACAGATTTGGCAGCCATTGCATGTGTTTCCCCAGCCTCCCTGAAATTCCACATATCAAGTTGGATGTAGGAGGTCTTTGCCTACAGTTGCTGCTCTGGCCACCAAATGCTTCCTTGCAATTTGTTTCTCAGTTTCTAAATTTGTTTATGCAGTTTGCATAAAGCTTCCCACATGAACTACATTGGCCTTGTGGACGTAGACCAAGTAATATGTTTTGGCGTCAGGACCTATAAAGCTTATTTCTACATCAGTGAATTATCAGTGCAGTTTAGTGCAGTTTAGTTAACAATGTGCCCTGAAAGGAACAAAAGTTGAGCATAAATATATTAGCACAGTCCCCTTCTGAGTGTGGCAAGGCAGGCTTATAATATTTCTGGCAACAAAAGTCACTAATTTCTTAATGGATCTGTTCTAACCATGATGAAACAATAAAATAAACCCTGTAAAATAAACAATAAACAATAAAACCTTCCTCAGACTGTAACAGGCCTTCATAATACAATCACGTAGGAGGTGCTAGATGATGCTGAACTGTAAGATCACACAGAGAAAGGAGGAACTTAAATGTAGAAACAGTACAATTCTGCCCAGAGTCAAATCTACTGGCCAAGTGGCAAGGTCTCTGCTCTGAATCGAAGCCACTGCATGTGCTTATCAATAGACATAACCTGTAAATATGCTGCTTAAGCCTGTCCATCTAATAATGTGGCCAAAATCAAAGGAAGCTGTTTATGTTCTCCTCTCCCCCAGGCTCTAGCATTTGGTGTTGGTGGCCAGCCATTGTTTTTTCTTCACTCATATTTTCCGTCAAGCTGAGTTACAAATGTATGTAGCCTCTGTTGTTTATCAATAATATAACATGCAGAACAAATCAAACTTCCTTTATATATACAAATAAGCTTACATTTAAGAGCCTCCACCAACTTTGTTTTACTGAAAAGAAAAACCAAAAAAAAAACACACCACCAACAAACCAAACCTTACAAGGCCCTGCATTTAATTTCAGAAAAGATGCTTTCATAGCCTAGTCTCTCCCACGTGTATGCATGTGCAAGGAGAATGCTTTTTCCTCTCTGTAGCCAATGATATAGGGATTCCTGGCAAAGCTCAAAATGAAATCCATTATCATCTGTCAGTAAAATGACTTCCAAATTCCAGCTGGATGCTGTGCAAGTCTCTTTAAAGAAAGACTCCCCCTGCATTTGGTATTGTAGTTCCACTGTCTCTCGGTAACTGGATTTTGGAATCAATTCATTGTTGCCAGTCACTAAAAAAAGTCCAATTTCTGATATCTCAGGCCTTATTCTTGCATCTTCCAAAACAAATCATGAGGTTTTTATTTTTCTCCTTGAAGAAGTAAATTCAAGGAAAACATTTGCTCACCCTTGGCAAAAGCCAAAGTCCCCATGCCCTCTACAACCTTATCCTTCTGCACATTCAAATCCTTTATCATTGCATACTTCCTTCTGGCATAAAAGCAGTATATTCCCTAAGGTTAGAGAGTCCTCCATTCTGATCTGCTTCTGTAGCACTCCTACCACTGTCAAGAAAGGGAATCTTACACAGTAGTGCTGAGCACAAACCGCTAACCTTTCTCAACAGCCAAACAAAGCAAAGTCTAAATAAATGGAATTTGAAACATTATACTCTTACTGGTGCAAAAATAAAACTGTTTCTAATCCACTGAAAACAAACATTAACACCATGGAGGGTAAACAGACCTAAGATTCATGCCAGAGCTTGCGCTGAAAGTATTGATAATAAGTGATGGAAAGACATGGTGGGTTTGTTTGTTTATTGTTTTAAAGGAGAAGACATTAGTTCTAACAATCTATGCAGTCTGAACTAGAATTGCAGTAATTAAATAGCTAGGATCATAATTCTTTGACTTTGATGTCCTAATTCTGTGAATT